ATTACCACGTAGATGATTGATTAACTTAGTGTATTACCATGTAGATGAATGATTAACTTGGTGTATTACCACGTAGATGATTGATTAACTTGGTGTATTACCACGTAGATGAATGATTAACTTGGTGTATTAACACGTAGATGAATGATTAACTTAGTGTATTACCATGTAGATGAATGATTAACTTGGTGTATTACCACGTAGATGAATGATTAACTTAGTGTATTACCATGTAGATGAATGATTAACTTGGTGTATTACCACATAAATGAATGATCAACTTAGTGTATTACCACGTAGATGAATGATTAACTTAGTGTATTACCATGTATAAGCTTTTCAATAAAATTTGTAAAGTCGACATGTAAAAAAATTTCAATGAAAGATTTCCAAAAGTGTTTAGTTCATCGATAGTTGTTTATTGTATTTATAAACTATTCAATACAGAGTTGACTCATCTCTCGACATTCCAGTATAAAACCATGGCTGAACAGTATGAACACCAAATTCATAAGTTGAGTGTGTTGAAGACTGTGAGATTTGATTGGAAGCGAGCTTTTTCTGAAAATTGAAAACATGAGTCAAGCATTAACTTGGTTTTATTTAAGAAAAAAAGAAATTTGGTCTAAAATATTATACTGAAAAACAAGTCAACTGGGAAGGAAGTGATTTTCACTTGAACTTACTGGTATCAAGTCAAAGATCTACACATACAAGCTGGGCTTTGAGTGCTAAAACCTCTGAAATGTGAACCCACACACACAACGTTCGTTTTTAAACCGAAATCTGAGTGTTGAAGTCTAGATAAACATTTCCCACTCCATTTCACAGTTCTTAGACCTTATTAATTTAATTGGACACTTTGAATAACTAATCACATACTAATGTTTAATGCAATAATGAACATTTATTAGACTAAGACTACATATATTCTTATATATGTAGTACATTAATGTACCATGCATTTCTATCTTCGTGTGTTATATTATTTATTCTAAATTTATCATTTATTCTGCATATGTGCAGTTTTCACATGACACAAGATCAAGAAAACAATTACCATATTTGCCTGAATATAATGAGCACCCAATTTTGAAAGGTTAAATTAAAGAAAATTTGTTTTTTACACATCAGTTGTACAAAAAGCTTTTAACAAAATATGGCACTGTGGATGGGTGAGTTAGTATATGATGAGCAGCCAGTACATAGAAAGTAGTTGGGTC